AGGATGAGGGAACGGATCCTTCAGCTAGAAGAATCTCATGACAAGCCGTCTCTCTGCAGCAATGTTCCGCTTTGATTTGGCTGCAGTGGGTTGGGCCTGAGGATGAGAGAACGGATCCTTCAGCTAGTAGAATCTCATGGGACATCTTGTAAGGGCCACGTAGTGTGGTGTTTGGTGCAAGTGACACACCGGTGGCTCAGAGGTGGGTGAAACGACAAGGGACATGTTCATATAGCACTTTCTATCTCGTCCACTTTTATCCGTGTTGACTCCTCAGCTCCTACATGTTCATAAACTATATGAAATGTGGGCTACCAGATGAACCAAGCTGGGAGGGTTCTCCTGCTACCCCAGGTGGGAAAGTGAGAGGAGGCGCCCACATCTTCTCCAGAACCACTGTCATGATTTCCAGAAGCCAACCATCCTTCCTTCGGTGTTCTTACCAATCATGGGACCCACCACCTTGTTGCTGAGGTCTTGGGCTGGCTGCTCTCGCCCTGCATTTCTGCCACTTCTCTTCCAGAGTCTCTAAATAGATATCTTCTGCATTTCAGGCACATCCTGTAGCTGGTATTGCTGCGATTCAGGTTGGCTGCAAAATAATCAAGTTAAAACGCTTTCAGGAGATTCCCAGGCGAAATGAATCTGCTTGGGTCATCCATCTCTCCACCAACGCGCCCACACATTGAGAGGACCTGCAGACGACCGCCTGACTGGAGTCTTGCATGAAAAGCAGCGTTGCAGAGGAAAAACGCAGGCTGGAAACCCCATGGACAGGGAATGGGTGGTTTCACTCATTCTTACGTACTCACCACCGGTGCTGGTTCTTGAACGTAGAATGTTCTAAGCCAAGGGAGAAGAATCCTAACTCATGGGCTGGAAACAAACTATGGAAGTTGTGGGGAGGCTCAGCCATGGCTGGTGGTGTCGGGGAATGTGGTCACACCAAGGGTACCCAGGACACAATCAGGTTCACCCCTGCATGTCATCTGCCCCCTGCAAAGTCATAAGCAGAGCTGGGCATAAATTTCTGGTTCGGCCGTTTGTGCCGTTTTGTCCTTTGGACAAACAGGTGTTTGGCAATCCCCAGTCCCTCCTCCTCTGGCCGGCGCCCACTCCGAAGCATCACCCTGAGTAGGTGGAGAAGGGAAGCTGGGTTTCTGCTGGAGGAGGCAGGTCTGAGAACTTCGGAACACCTGTTCAGCTAAAGGACGAACCAGCACGAACTGCCGAATCAGTGGTTCGTTGCCCATCTCTGGTCCTAAGGATAGGGGGTTCATCAGGGCAGGCTGGCCTTGTTCCCCCGCTCATCTGAGGTCCCAAGGGGAAAGAAACCACCCTGTGTCCCCTGCACAGAGGTCATGATCCTGCTGCTGATCTTGGCATGGACGGAGAGGTCCCTGTCTCAAAGAGATTGTAATTCAGAAATAGGCATGAGAGGAGGAGAAGGGAAGGAGTGGGTAGAGAAATAAAGAAAAAGATGAAAACTTTATGATGATTAGGGTAGCCCCTTTATCTAGGCTGAGTTGCATCAAGGCACGGAGTCGGGAACAACAGAAACAGCTCCTGATTTGGGCCATTTCCGTCTCTTGCTGAGCATCGCTAAGATGCAGAAGTGTGCTATTTAAAACATTGCTTATCAAAGGATACCAGGAGAGGCTCAATAACATAAGCAGGATCATGAAACCATCAAGTCGTTAAAGCCTTTGTGTTTGGGTTGCAATTCTTACCTGTCTCCAGGATGAACGCTCGCCCAGCCGGCAACGAGGAGGTAGAACAAAAGCAGGCTGTGCTTGGCCACAAATCTAGTCAGGCAGAACTTAATGTTCCATCCTTCCAAGCAGGAAAATAAAGTGCTGAGAAAGGCCACCCAGCTCCTGATTGATGCCGCTACATCTTCACACTCAATAGCGCATGGAATTCTTGTGAAGAGAGGGCAGGGGGGGCTGATAATCTGGAATCCAGGGGGATCTCACGACGTGGGCATGCTTGTGGGTGGAAGCATTTTTTGTACTGTTGTGGAGTGGGACCTTTCAAAACCATGGCGTTTATCGCAACAGTACTCATTACAATCTGCTGCCAAGAGAAAAAGTAAGGGGTGCTGTTGAGCTCTTTCATCGACCAGCTCAGACTGTTTCCTTTCTCTGGGAGCGGGTCTTTTGCAAAGTTAATGGGGTTTATCTGCCCGCTCAAGAACAAGCCATATCCTTTGAAACTATATTACAAGATGACTAGCTGAAAACCATACATCGTTGTAGGGAATTCATTCCCTTACTCCCCACACCCCCCTTGCAACTAGTGTGGGAACTGCAGTCAATTTCAAAGGAATTGCAGTCAATAATAGGAAAACCCAGAATTGCACAGGCGATATCACTGGTCCTGCAAATAAAAAGGAACTTCTTATAATAAATGAATAAGTAGACAAACTGGTGGGCAACTTTTTCTTCCCATTGTTTCCATCACTCCAATGTGCAAATTCATTCATGCAGGTTTTTCTCCTTTCGTCTCCACCGCTCCTGATTCTGCTTGGATTTACTTTGATTTTAGAAGATGTTCTGCTTTTTCCACTTTTATTGGAGGTGCTTATTTTACTTTACCTTAGAATCTTAAAAATTCATTCATGCAGGTTTTTCTCCTTTCATCACCACCACTCCTGATTCTGCCTGGATTTACTACTTTGATTTCAGAAGAAGTTCTGCTTTTCCACTTTTATGGGAAGTGTTTATTTTACTTTACCTTAGAATCTTAGAACTGCAGAGCAGAAAAGGACCCTACTGATCATCGGGTCCAGCCCCTGTCAAGGAGACCCAGTGGGGAATCAAACTCCCAACCTCTGACTACATAGCCAGAGTCCTAAACCACTAAGCTATCCATCAATTTTCCTTTATGAATATAAAAATCTCAATCTACCTGCAAGCCCTTTCCAATGCACTGCACAATTTTTAAAAAACTGAATCAGATAAAATTCTAGACACAACACACATATACATACTCAAAAGTCCTGTGCATGGCAAGTGGCTGACACCAAGGGATACTTATTCCAACTCTTCTGTACAACAGAAGTAGACCAACAAATGCAGAGATCCACAGAGAAGAACAGTTTTAAGTTCCCCCAAGTCCACTCCTTTCTCACCAATTGGCACTTAAGGTCTCAATAACTTACTCTGAGACTTGTAGGTCTACTTCTCTGTTGTTTATCTTTGGTGGCTTGATGGTCTGCCTTGTCATCACAATTATTATAATTGCTATTCTTTTAATGCACCTAACAGGGTAGATTTTTCTTCTGCCGAAAAACTCACCAACCCACTGTCAACAGACTTGTAGGGACTTCAAGTATGAGGATGCTCCCTGTTCTTTGCACAGAACAGGAGAGCAGCTCCTGTCCTAGAATGGATTACTTCTTTCACCTCGGGTGCACAGCAGGAGAAGGTGATCAGAGTGATGACAGCTTCACGTTACTGTGCCTTTAAGATCCTCTGAGCATCTCCAGCTTTCTGCTCTTTCCCAGAGTTGGGAGCACCAGATGCAGAGGAGTTGAAGAAACAGAGAGAGTTCCCGGTGACTCCGGTCAGCTTCAGCATTTCTGTCTTGGAAATGCTCGGTCCCCAGAAGCTCATCCCATCTTTCTGAAAGCCCAGTGCTTTGGAAACTTCTCGAGATGTCATCTGGAGGTGGATCGAGTGCAGCCAGGAATGCAAAGACCTGCAAGAGGTCGAAAACGGTGAAACGCCACACTAGCATTTATGCCTATCCGGAACCACCCCATAGGTGAGAGATTGATTTTCTGTTTCATGCTTTTGCCATATGGATGGGATAGAAATATAGAAATATAAAAGCTGGGTGTTCTGCTCTTGTGCCTTTAAAAAATGTGCAAGATAATTTAATGAGATGTTACGTTCCCCATTCTCTGCTTGCCAAATTTCATCTGTCAAAATTCGTTCTTCCACAAAACGGTCGTAGGCACAGGAATTCTGCTGCCTCTTGTTTGCATGGGCTCATCTTGAGCTTAATCCTTCTGCTTCTTTCTCACTCCCTCTTGTTTCTGTCGAGACAAATACAATGCCACTCTACTTCTTTTCCAACTGTTTGTGAGGAAAAATTATAGCCAACATTTCTCTCACATGGGAATGCAGAAAACCCTCGATATTAAAATTCCCCACCTGTGGGAATGTGGCTTTTCCTCATAACTCACTGAAAAATGATTGGCAACAATCTGTTATTTCTTGTGAATGTTGGCCTTTCAATGAGGTTTCTTAGCTAAAAACCAGAATTTTTTTTAATCTCTGGAAGAGTTCTGTCAGGCTGGATTTCTGCTTCTGAATGGTTGTGCCATTCCTGGATGGCCAACAATTGTTTACTTGGTGGTTTGTTTTCTTGAACACCTCGTTGGCTTATTAGCTCATTGCCTTAATGCAGGAAAATCTCGCTAAACACCGTGACAAAGATGTTGTAAAAGCACAATGGCAATTTATATTTCTTGATGCTGCCCAAGTCTGGCAAGCATCTAATGCCCATCCGACATAGTTTAGGTCAGCAAGGATTCTTAACTGTGAATTTCAGGCACATATTTATTACATGCTTCTTTTAGCAACACAGATGGCATCATACTCTGGCTTTAATGTGGTCCTTGGTAGCAAAGGTGTAACAGACATTTGTAAAACACATCAGCAACTCCAACTGAGTTTTTATAAAATAAAGACAAAGAAGTCATATGCTTGTCTCCACAAATACCAATTTCCCGGTGGTTTGAACACACACACCTGATTCATTTCTGAGTTGTTGTCAAAATCTCTTCTAAATCTTGACACGGTGATTTTGGTCCAGTGTGGTGGTTCCCTCTTTCTGCTCCAGTAAACTGTCTGCCTGATGGAAGGCAAGTGGATCAGAGGTTCCATTTTCCTTTCCTGGGGGTGGAGAAATGTTTCCTTCATCTCCCCGCAGGCAGAATCTTGAGGGGGTTTCAAGGCTGTCCTCACAGCCCCACACTCTGGTAATAGGAGATGGGGAGCTCACTCACCTTCTCTGTTTTTCTCGATGGGCTGCCGGATGCCTTTAGCAACTCAGAGGAAGAGAATGCCGAAGACAAGGTGGACAACAATGACCCGGAGCAGATCTTCCAGAACATCCAGTTCCAGAAGGAGATCATGGCCAACATCCGTTGCCGACCGTGGCCGATGAGGCAGAAACTCAAGGCGTTACGGTAAAGAACATTCTCCAGAGCTATCAGTTCTTCTGAAGTTTTGGCTCTGCGGAAGAGCTCTGGGGGATTTACAGTTCCTCTTTTCCATCGTTTATTCTCTTATCTCACTCTTCCGCCTTCTTATTCCTGTCTCCTTTCCTCTCCCCTCCATGACCCTCCTTCTGCTACCTCCTCTCCTACCTGATTCTCTTCTCTCTCTTTCTCATTTCCTTCCCTCTCTATTTCCACCCCCCATCTCTCTCCTTCATAGCATTCAGCTCTACAAAGGTCCACCGGTTCAACTGGGTGATCAGTTCAGGGCCTTAGAAACAATCCTAATTCAAGTCCAGAAATACGTGTGGCCCATGAAATTTAATCTGGATCAATATATAAATTTGTAAAGGCAATGGAAAAGCAAAATGGCGGGCGTATTTTAACGTATATATATTTATTTGCTTTTGATCTCTTGTACATGAAATCTGGAGATCTGGGAGGAGAATGGAAGCTAGTGTGGTGGCATGGATAGAGTGTAAAAAACAAGGCACATGGATTCGAATCCCTGCTCAATCGTGGAAACTCACTGGACAGTGGCAGTGGTGAACCGCTCCTTGAAGCTCTCACACACATCGAAAATCCTGTTAGGGTTGCTATAAAGTCATTATAATAAAGAAGAGGAATAAATCGTCCACATTTCAGCCAGCTGGCTTCAAGGGCATGTAATTGCAGGCACTTCTAAAGTTTGCTTTAAGAAAACCCAGTCGGCTGCAACCATATGTGTTTCACTTGATTTGATTTGTATCCTGCATCTGAATTAACATGCCAATTTGATTTCCTTTGTCCTAGAACTGAAACAGGCCATTCCTCTTTCATTGAGGCCTCATGTAATCAAGCTGGTTCCGCCTCGAATCTGGGATTTGTCTGAAGCCTTCTCCAGCCCCAGTGCTGACCTCTGGCAGTTCAAAACCGAAGCTAGCATAGGGAATGCAGAACGAGATCCCTGGGGCATTCTTTCTTTATGTACTGTTGGCTAAAACCTTTTCTTCAACAAGGCATCAATGTGGCTTTTCTCCTCCCCATTTGACCATATCATCAGCCCCCTCCCCCATGAGCTCGGTCATGCTGAGCAAGAGAGGGGCTGTCCCAAGGTCACCTGGCAAGTTTCATGGCTTAGTAAAGATTCTAGTCCTCCTCATCTCTCCCATCCAACTCTTTAGCCCAGTGGCTCCCAACCTTGGGCCTCCAGATGTTCTTGGACTATGACTCCCAGAAATCCTGGCCACACAGCCAGCGGTGAAGGCTTCTGGGAATTTTAGTCCAGGAACATCTGGAGACCCAAGGTGGACAACAACAGCTTTTGACCCCCTACGTTGCTTTCAACTCTCCCCCAACACCACTAGGACTCTCCTCTAAAAACTTTGCACGTATCTCCCAGCAAGTAGAAATCAAGTTGAACAACTTGCTTTGCCTAATGGTAGGGCCGGTGTCAGGTCACGCGGTTGGCCCACCTCTTTCTGTATTGCCAGAATGATTAGCAGAGGTTTCCCACGGGGGTTTATTATTTGGGATCCTTTCTCAGCCCCTCCTGGAGATGGTAGTAATGGAGTTTCAAGCCCTGGCACACACAAAATATATTCTCCTCCCCCTTCTTGAATGTCTCCAAGGCAGTTGTGAATCTAGAGACCACTGGCAAACAGGAAGAACTCTTACACAGAGCTAGTTTGTTGGCCCATTTACCCTAATATTGTCAACTCTGACTGGCAGCCATGGATCTCTGGTGTTTAGGAAAGGTTCTTTCCTCACCCTGGCTGAAGATCCCTGTCTCACAGTTACTAAACCAGGCCTGACCCAACTTAGCTTCTAAATCCAGACGAAATCTCGGCGCTCCGCGTGGTACAGAAGCCTACAGCCTCCTCGTTCTGCGGTGCCTTTCTGCCACCATGATCTCCTAATGTTTGATTCCATCTTCCTGCCCGGAGGGGGGAAATTAGAGGGATTTGGAAATGGAGGCAAATCTTGGGTTTGTTTTAAGTAGCAGAAAGAAAGGAGGAGGTTCACCGGGCAGGCTGTGTTTTGCAGCAGTAACTCACATCCCCTGGCAAGTTGGTTGGCTGTAATTTATGAGAGAGAAACAGCAGGGAGCTTTGGAAGTAATGAGTTTTTTTTCTCCCTTAGTCACATGAAACCCAAGTTCTCCTCTTCCTTTGGCAGCCAAGCGAAAGAAATTGTGTTGAAGTACGAAGGTCGACTGACTCGGACGAGAGGCTACCAGGCAGCCGGAGCAGAGGTGGGTCTGTTTTGCATTAAAAGCTCCAGGGCACGCTTTTCATGGGAGTGGGCCAAGATTTCTCCATTTCCAGAAGGAAATACTTTCAGAACTTCAGCATATTGCTATTTACGTAATGAGGAGTAACCCACAGAACGCCACGGTGTTTTCCTGGCAGTGTTTTTCTTTTTGCCGTTAATAATTGTGATCAGGCAGAAGTTCAACAGGAGAAACAGCATCAGCTATGCAGACTCCCCAGAGCCATGAAACATTCCTCTTGTGGGAAGGACTACATTTCCCAGAATCCCCCAGACAACCAGGACCCCTGCCCAGGCTGGCTAGAAAATTCTAGTTTTCCAAAAGGAGAACTTTCTCAGGCTCTGAAACTGGACAGTAATTGCTGTCTAATGATATTTATATGTATGGAAGTGAGAGCTGGACCATAAAGAGGGCTGACCACCGAAGAATGGATGCTTTTGAATTGTGTTGCTGGAGGAGGCTCTTGAGAGTCCCCTGGACTGCAAGGAGAGCAAACCTATCCATTCTAAAGGAAATCAACCCTGAGTGCTCAATGGAAGGACATATCCTGAAGCTGAGGCTCCAATCCTTTGGCCATCTCATGAGAAGAGAAGACTCCCTGGAAAAGACCCTGATGTTGGGAAAATGTGAAGGCAAGAGAAGAAGGGGACGACAGAGGATGAGATGGATCGACAGGGTCATCGAAGCGCCCAAGATGAATTTGACCCAACTCCAGGAGGCAGGGGAAGACAGGAGCGCCTGGCGTGCTCTGGTCCATGGGGTCACGAAGAGTCGGATACAACTAAATGACTAAACAACAACAGGTTCATTGCAATTCATTTTCCAGCACTAATTTAACGCATCAGACATACAAGTCCTATTACAAAAGAAGCTATGGATTAATCTGAGTGAATTGCAGAAAAGCGGGACCTTTTAAGAACATTTTCTTGGAATTACATTTTATAAATGCCAAATATGCAGGTACTTCCGGGAAATAATTACCTTGATCTGAAACAGATGTCGGAGTAGGATGGTATATTCACAAATGGTATATCTAATCACAATTCAACACAGAATTACTGGGACATTTCTGTAGTTCATTGATAATCTATTCCACACTCAGGAAAAAGGGAGCCAGCTAAATCCTATTTAAATTTATGAAACAATCCCAGATCAGCCATGAATTATCTCAGTGGTGTATATTCCCCTTTTATTTATGTCTTTAGATTAAATAGATATGTCTCCTGCTGTATAAGTTTGGGTTAAAGTTTTATTAACCTCCAATACATTGCGTTGACAAAACACCAACAAAAATCTTCACATGGAAGGGAAAAAGCCATGATACTATGAGCATATGGATGATTAAAGTCAAGATTAGAGGAGATAAAATGGATTCTCAGTGATCTAATTCATCATTCAAGTCTCAAGTATAGCAAATATTGTTAAAAGGAGACCAGCAAAGAGCTGGAAGTGATTTTTTTGGGGGTGGGGTTGGGGGAGAGATACTGATTGTTCTCTTTTCATGTAGAATAAATAAAACTGAGTTTTCAAAGATGTTCCTGTTTTTTTACCCACCCCCCCCCAGCTGTGGCGAAAATTTGTTCGGCTTGCATACAACTTTATGGTCGTCTTTATTCCCTGGGAGATGAGAATAAAGAAAATAGAAAGTAAGTACGGAGGACTCAAAGAACTAAAGTGCAGCCCATAATAGCAAAGAGTATAAATATATAATTCTAACTCAGGGGTTGGATCAAGCAAAAGCCTTTAGTGCAGGCACAATCATATTGTTGGTATAATTAAGGACAAAGATAGGGAGAAATCTAGAATTACTTGCAGCAGCTTCATCTTCCCCATGGCTGTAGCTCCACCCACCTTCGCTTCTGGCTCCACCTACCGTTAGCTCTAGCTCCACCTACCGTTGCTTACAGCCCCACCTACTAATTTCAACCAACTGCGACCGAGATGCCTCTTAGCTTTCATCCTCCATTATAACTTTGCTTAGTCCCCAGCAATGGCCGTGGAGGAGGAAATTTTTTTTAAAAAAAGTGAGACCCACTCCTGAAAAATAGCTAGAGATTTTCTCTGCCCCATGGAGTAAAAAGGGGATGAAAGAGTCCCCCCCAAAAAATTCTCTCCCCCAAATAGGGTGGGGAATTTCCCAACACCACATTGTTCCATGGGCTAAGATTTGCTTTTATCAGGAATCGCCCCAATCTAAGGCTGTAATTCTGCAGATGAGGCTTTATATCAGGCTGGAACAAGGGTTGACGAAAATTGCAGCAATGTTTCTCTATCAGGGGCTGTTTTTTGTGGTTTAAGGTCATTTCGGTTCCGGAGTTGCTTCGTACTTCATTTTCCTGAGGTGGCTGTTTGGAATTAACATTGTCCTCACCATCATGACGGGAGCCTTTGTTGTTTTGCCAGAGGTACGTGATCTTTGGGGGAGGAGTGCGTTCCAGGTGACATTTTGGAAAACAAAAACATCATTGTCGTCTTAGAACGGCAGAGCAAGAAGGGACCCTCTGGATCATCGAGTCCAGCTCCTGTGAAGGAGACCCAGTGGGGGAATCGAACTCCCAACCTCTGGCTGCCTAAACCACTGAGTTATCTAGCAGTTCAGGTCTCCTTCATGCAGTAACATTCCTAAACCACTGAGTTATCCAGCAGTTCAGGTCTCCTTCATGCAATAAAGTCACTCCCCTTTTGAGCTGTTTTAAGCCCTCCATGCACCGATTTACACATCAAATTCTTCCAATAATGGATGTGAACTCTCAGCCATTTGGGATATTTCATGGGACCCATGTAATCCTCAGATAATCCTGAGAACGGTCCCCAGACCACCAGAAAATACCCATTCCTGTTCTAACCACGACATCATACAGGATTCCCATCAGTTTCCCCTTCACAGGAACCTCCTTGTTTGGTGTTTAGAGGTCCCATCTCCTCCAACTCTCACAGGAAGTGAGGATATTGTCTCACCCAGTACCAGACTCCCGGTCCATTGAGTCATATAGTAGGGCCAACTCTGGCTGGCAGCCATTTCAGGCAGGGTTCTTCTCTATCAGTCTCCCATCCACGCTTTGACCAGAGAAGAGCCTGCTTAGCTTCCCAAATCAGACCGTACGCGTGCGATCAGGGTGATATGGTCTTTGCTCTGTTCTAGATTCTGGCTGGAGACCCTTTTGGCAGCACGCCCAGTAAACGGATCCCTCCGGGACAACTGCAGTCTGCGCAGGACTTGGACACCATCTGGTCTTTGGGGGCAAGAGCAAAATATATATATATCTATTTCATGTACTGTCTCTTCAAAGGGAGAGGAAAAACCCAAGTGGCCTTGCTTTCGCCCATGGATCTGTTTCTGTTTCTCTAGGGTTATCTCCAGTACTCTGTCTTATTCTACGGCTACTATGGCCAGGCTAGGAAGATTGGGACAGCTGGTTACCGCCTCCCTCTCGCCTACTTCCTTGTCGGGATGGCTGTCTTTGCCTACAGTTTCATCATCCTCTTAAAGAAGTAAGGGGGCTCAGCTGATCTTGGTACCCAAACAGAAGGGGGTTCTGGCTTTATTTCAATTCACTCACCGGGTGGAAAGGGAAGTTGGTGGGGAAGAGAATCGTAGACCCATAGTATCATTGAGTTGTAAGGGGCCCGTAAGGCCATCCAGTCCAACCCCCTGCTCCAGGCAGGAATCCCAATCCAAGCAGATCTGACAGAGGGTGGTCTAATTTTTTTTCTTGAATGCCTTCCAGCGTTGGAGCGCTCACCCCCTTCCAAGGTCATGAGTTCCATTGTTGTGCTGCTCTAACAGTCAGGAAGTTTTCCCTGATCTTCAGCCCAAATCTGGCTTTCTGTCACTGAATAGGAAATTACCAGAATACCTCAGGAGAATTTAAGATACTCTGTAAAAATATTGAACAGCTCAGCAAAGAAGCTGTTTTTCCAAGTTCTGACTGATTTTTTTGCTGCAACATTTACCACGGGCCACACGTGTAAGGCGATCTAATCCTGAGGGTTCGACAAGACCCCTTTGGCTCTTGAAATGTTGATTTTTGTTTAGCAAGAAAAGTGACTCTGCCTTTTCTCAGATTGCTGTGTTCCCTAGGCGAATCGGGCTCCACGCGATGGATGCCACTTCTGCCCTTCACCCTCCTGGTTGTTTTCTAGGATGGCCAAAAACTCACGGCTGAGCCTAGCAAGCGCCTCGGATGAGAACTACACCTTCTGCTGGAGGGTCTTCTGTGCCTGGGACTACCTCATCGGCAACCCGGAAGCGGCAGAGAGCAAAGCCGCCGCCATAGTCAACAGCATCCGGGTAAGCGGCTCATTGCTTTCCCCTGGGATTATATGGAGAAAAGTGGCTTGGAATGGATCCCAATGGATTCTGGCATTCTCCCTTGTTAAAAGAAAATAAATTCCAAAGATAAGGATGGAAAAACGAGAACAAGAGAGAATCTTTACCCAGCATGTTGTTAGTCTGTGGAACTCCTTGCCACCGGATGTGGTGATGGCGTCTTGCCTAGATGCCTTTAAAAGGGGATTAGATAGATTTATGGAGGAAAAGACCATCACAGTTTACAAGCCATGATGGGGATGTCTAATCTCCAGGCTTAAAAGAAAGGGACTTCCAAATGCAAGATGCAGAGGAGTGGGATCAGGAGACAGGGATCTTGTGGTCTCGTGTGCTCCCCAGAGGCATCTGGTGGGGCCACTTGTGAGATACAGGAAACTGGACTAGATGGGCCCTTGGCCTGATCCAGCAGGGCTCTTCTTATGTTCATGTGTTCTCAATCTGAAATGGACAGGTTTAGATAATCTCAACATCAACCCCCACCACCCCTAGTCAGCATCATCAGCATGTTCTTAGTCAATCCGCGGTGAGTTGTCTTATCTGTCCTTGTGTTTGTGTCCTTTTCAAGGAGGCTATTCTGGAAGAGCAAGAAAAAAAGAAAAACACAAACATGTATGTATGCCAATCATTCCCAACAAATATATATCTATACATACTATATAATTAGCAACTACGTCTGTTCTATAAATGTTTGTGTTGAAATCCTTTGCGGTGTGTTTCCCACCAGGGCAGTGACAATAAGCTTAAGGATCATTGCGAACATCTTGGTTCTCCTCCTGCTCGCTGGAAGCATTTATATCATTTATTTTGTGGTGGATCGATCCCAGAGGTTGGAGCGAACCAAAGACAGGCTGACTCTCTGGGAAAAGAATGAGGTAAGAGAGAGAGCTTGGCCTGCGTTTCCTCTTGGCCAACGAGAAGAACGAACTTGCCCATCTTTTGGGGGTTCTGTGCTCTGCTTGGAGACCCCCGTCTTCACCCTCCATTGAGGAAGACAGTTAGCCCAGCCAAAGCAGAAGGCTGGGGGGAAATTTGTGATGTCTCATGTAGAAACAAGCTAGCAAAGAAAAGCCAGGTGCTCCGTGTACACCACGGGGTCCCAACCTTGGACAACAATTCCCAGAAATCCAGGACAACACACAGCTCATGGTGAAGGCTTCTGAGAATTTTAGTCCAAAAACACCCAAGGACCCAAAGTTGGGTATCGCTGCTTGTACACCATCCGAAAGCAAGGACAAATGATATCTTTATTAAACCAGTTGGAAAATCACAAAGAGGAGCTAGCTTTTGGTTCTGTGCGGGTCTTCATTAGGCTACAAACCACAGAGCCGAGGATGGTGCATTTAAAAACATGAACGTTCCCCCAAACCATGGCCAGATGTGAATTCTTTCTTAAAAATAAGTTTCCCAACCGGAGCTGACAAGCTAGCAAAGAAAAGCCAGGTGCTCCATGTACACCACTGGGGTCCCAGTGAATTCTTTCTTAAAAATAAGTTTCACAACCGGAGCTCCCAACTCAAGGGAGAGATATTGGCCTCAGCATCCACCTCTTGTCCCTCCTAGTCTTGCTAGATGGATGGTCACTGGTCATTCAACGTTTTCCTTTTCCCCATCGCCCTATATTGAAGTGCAGGGTTCCTTTCCAGCTGTGAGCAGAAGCACACTGAAAGCGACAAATCCATTACAGTGGATCCTTGACTTACAGATGGCTCAACTTACAGACTTTTCGAGTTATAGATTTCTCTGGCTGCAAAATTTAGGTTCCCCTTGCAGCCGGAGAATCAACCTACAGACTGGGGGGAAAAAAGCAAAATGGAACAAAAATGCCTGTTACGGGTTCATCAGTTTTCAATGCATTGTAGGTCATTGGAGTCTCGACCTACAGACTTTTTGACCTGTAGCCACCGTTCCAATATGGATTAATTCCGTAAGTCGAGGGTGCACTGTAACAGTCTCCTAAAGCAGAGAAGTCATTCCTGCTTACCTGCCCTTCCTCTGTGACATCACCATGGCCACTCCTCCTTCCTCCGTCTCTGATATGGCCATGGGATCTCGGGGGATAAGCTGCTGTTGCCTTGTCCCCATGGTGTCTGTTCATATCTCAGTTTGAAAGGATCTCGTCCTGCCTGCACATGGGCCGAAAAGTCAACGATCCTCCCGATTTCTCTTTCCAGGTGAGTGTTGTCGTTTCTCTCATCACCATGGTGGCGCCTTCGGCTTTTGAGCTGGTCGCTGCTTTAGAGATGTACCATCCCCGAACCACTCTACGCTTCCAGCTGGCCAGGTATGGGAAACAGGGTGTGCTTCATAAGGGTGGAGGGGAAGCAGAATGCAGGCTGGTCACATTATCCGTGGGGTGCCTGGCTTGAACATGGGGGAAAAAGGAGCAGACTCACAAGCAAAGGGGATGACTCTTTTGCTCTTGCTGATTCCACCCCCTCCAGAGTTCTTGTCTTATACTTGGGAAACCTCTACAGCCTCATCATTGCCCTCCTGGACAAAGTGGACAGCATGAGTATTGCTGTAAGTTTTGGCCATCCTGCAGTATAAACAGGGTACAAACAGGGTGTGCTTCATAAGGGTGGAGGGGAAGCAGAATGCAGCCTGGTCACATTATCCATGGGGTGCCTGGCTTGAACATGGGGAGAAAAGGAGCAGACACACAAGCAAAGGGGATGACTCTTTTGTTCTTGCTGATTCCACCCCCTCCAGAGTTCTTGTCTTATACTTGGGAAACCTCTACAGCCTCATCATTGCCCTCCTGGACAAAGTGGACAGCATGAGTATTGCTGTAAGTTTTGGCCATCCTGCAGAAATTGAAACATATCCTTAAAAAAAAGTTATGTACTTGTGCAACTTGTTACTTTGGGTCCGTAGATTATTTCCATTGCTAATGTTGCTCCTTTTAAATAAATAATCAATGCACTGAACATTATTAACTTGTTGGCTTGGTTATTTGTCAGCATGTTGGAGAATACTGAGAATACTATCCAGTTCCCCCTAGTGGCTGGTTCTGATATTGCCGCCTCGGGTTCTTTTTAAAGAAAAAGGCAGGATTAAAAATAATTTAAATAAATATTAATAATAATTGTTCCTTGAAAATCTGAAAGAGTGACAAAAGGTTTCCTCGGGGCTCATAAGAGACTGTTAGAAAACTTGAAAGATTCCTGCCAAAATCCTTTTGGAAATGGCAAAAAGTAGCTGTTGTTTCAGGAAAGCTGCTGAAAAGTTTAGATTCCTTATGAAAAGCTTCCTAGAAATGTTAGTATGTGTTTATTGTCTCAGAAAGTAGATGTTTTAGGTTTTAGACCTCAATGGCAGCCATTGACATCAACTCCTGAGAATACTGTCTTGATGTTCAAGATGTTTTAAAGGTGCAGACAGTCTGCACTCATAATATTTCAAAGACTGCCACTTCTGACCTCTAACGTTCAATCCACAATTTCAGGATTCTAATGTTCACAACAATGGAAGTCATGCTGTGGAAACCACCACTTTCTTAGCTACAAAAATCTTCCTGGGGAACAACTTTTCTGCAAACATTCCCAGTATGCAGGTCATAACAAACGGCACCTTCCCTCTGGCTGAGAATCAGACCCATAGTTACGCCCTGTCTACCAACCTGGTGGCAGCCAACAGGACATCAGATTCTGAATCCAGCACCCAAAACCACCAAGATCAGTGCTGGGAGACTTACGTTGGACAGGTAGGTCCAAGTTTTATGTGACCTTACCAAAACCCAGGAAGATTTGCAGTGATAAACTGCCAAATCTCTTCTCTTTTTGATACTTGTTTTAGATACTAGGGTTATGTGTTAGTGACTGACTGGGGGGACCAGTTTGGGCTTTTTGAGTAGATCCACATCTGTTCTAGGGTGAATGAGGCCCCACGAAATTTGACTTGTGCCTTGGATCTAAAGTGAATTGCAAATTTATCAAGTTCGTCCCTTGGAAAACCAAAAAGGCTCTATCTTTTATACTGATTTACATGAAATTTGGCGATAGGGCGGACCCAAAATGGGGGAGTAATCCTCCTCAATTTCAGATGAATTTTCACAAGGTTGCTTAAAGTTTGCATTCAAATGTGGCCAAATTGGTGCGAAATATGTGATTCGCCTTAATTTGGGAGAAGAACCACGGACCTGTATGTACGTGGTTTCGTTCTTGAAATTTAGTTCACATTTCCAGTGAATTCTAAATGCTTTGCTTTTATTGTTTGTTAGCATTATCTTTTCGTCCTCTGCTATTTCCTTCTTGTTAATGCATATCATTTTCCTCTCCGTGAGCTCTTTTGTGTGTGTGTGTGTTTATTCCAGGAAATGTTGAAGTTGTCCATTATAGACATGCTGTTCACAGTGGCAAGCATTCTGCTGATTGATTTCTTCCGCGGGCTTTTTGTCCGATACCTCAGCGACTGCTGGTGCTGGGATTTGGAAAGCAAATTTGTGAGTTATCTGTCCAACACGAATATGAAAAGTGTAACACAGGCACGGAGCAGCAGCCTCCAAAACGCAACCCTGTGTTGCCTTGCCAAAAAGACGTCACAAGCAACACCTTCCCAGAATTTAGAAGCTTTAAAAATAGCACTGGTGTGTTAACATCTTTTTTTAAATGGTTCATCAACGATAAACCAGTACAGAAATGAAATCAAATCAAATCAATCTGTGGTTGATCCATTATTTGGTCACGTAATTTAATTTAAGAAATAATTATTAAAAACAACCAGTGACCCATTAAAGAAATGTCAAACGTGAATTATTACTTAAAAATAACATCCGTCGGCGTTGCATAGATAGGAGAACTAATTTTATCATTGCTGAAAATTTGAACGAATTTCGGGTAAGGGACTAAATTTTAACGAATTTGTTTCCTAGATGTGTACCATCAGCCAATAGATGGTGCTGTTACATGATGTGATGTAGACTTGTCATGTTATGCATTTTTCCGGAGATGGAAAATGTCTGGGTTTGTTCTAACTACAATTCCCAGAGTCCCACAGCTAACATGGCTACTAAAGCACTTTTTAAAAAAACCCAAACCTACAAATACAAAACTGGATGTGGCCTTCCAAAAATACTCATTTTGGATGATGATCATGATTGCCAGTTTTCAAGGCTGTTGTGGGCTCATGCGGGCAGAAAACTGACCCGTAAAACATCCAAATTTTCTCAAACCCCTCCACCTTTCAAATGCTATTTGTCTTGAAATACCATTCCTGGTGGTTTGCTTTTTTTGCAGCCTGAATATGGAGAATTCAAGATTGCAGAAAATGTCCTACATTTGGTCTACAATCAAGGGATGATTTGGTAAGGAATCCACGCCAGGGAGCAGTTTTCAGTCAACCTCGCCGATGCCACACCGCCTGGCTCCTCCTGTCCCCTTAGGTGACAAAGGATGGGCTGATGAAGAACTTGAAATATTTGTTGGAACTCAAGTTCCCAGGATGCACCACCAAGTGTTTCTGTGTGGGTGGGCAGGCAGGGACCATGACATTTTTCCTTATGGGTGGAAACAATTCCTTAGGCTGGCAGAACATCCTTGCAGTTTCCATTTCCCTTTCTGGCAGAATGTCGTACACCACCCTTGTCTTTTCGGAGGGGGTACCGTCCCTACCACTGTGGTGGGATATGAGGAGATGGCATTTGAATTCATCCTCAGGCAAGAGGAACGATTAGCCCACCTCTCTGATGTTCTGCAGTGGTGGGATGACCCCCTTCCAATCATGGACCATTCGTAGACAATATGACGAGGACAATATTTCTGCAGTGGTGGGATGACCCCCTTCCAACCATGGACCATTGGCAGACAGTTAGTTAGTTAGGCATCCTTCAGTCTCGAAAGACTATGGTGTCGTGCTCTGTATGGAGGACTTGGAACAGCGTCTAGTGTGGCTGAAGAGGCCAATTCGAGAGTGGCAATCTCTTCCACACTGAAGACAAATCCAATCTGTCCCCTGTCCAGCTCCCTGGTTTTGCTGCTTTTGTGACTTCCTTTTTGCCTCGGCCTGCTGGACAAGGGTCTCTTCAAATTGGGAGAGGCCGTGATGCACTGCCTGCCTCCAGGCTGAACGGTCAGATGTCAGGGTTTCCCATCTGTTGAGGCAGACAATATGACGAGGACAATACTGAACGGTCTCAGCAGGGCTGTGTCAACTTTAGATGCTTGGAAACAGAAAAGAGGCTTTCTTGGACGTTCACTGACAAAGCTCATAATTAACCAAGCTCATTTCAAGCAAGGGAAGCTCACTCACTACTAGACCCAGCACCATCCTTAAAAAGAAGCAGTGGCCCACAACCTTGGGCCTCCAGATGTTCTTGGACTTCAACTCCCAGAAATCCTGGCCAGCAGAGGTGGTGGTGAAGGCTTCTGGGAGTTGTATTCCAAGAACATCTGGAGGCCCAAGGTTGGGGACCACTGGCTTAGAAGATGGTGGTTGTTTTTCTCTCCTAGGATGGGAGCGTTCTTTTCTCCTTGCCTCCCAGCGTTCAACGTTCTCAAGCTGATTGGGCTTATGTACCTGCGGAGCTGGGCCGTGCTCACGTGTAACGTCCCCCACCAGCAGGTCTTCCGAGCCTCAAGGTGAGTCAATAACGGATCGGCGTGAGGTAACAACCCAGGTCGCCTTGTCTCCTATCCAAATGATGGCAGAGATTCCTTTTTAGACTATAGCTTCTTTGCCTGCATGAATTCGAAGAGTGATAGCCCCCCCACCTCAAAAAGTAACTTTTCTAGCTTCTAGATATAATAGGGCAGGCTACGACATGCTAGTCAGAGGGAGGGCTGTTTTCACAAGCACTAGCGATGGGTTGATTGACTGGGTTCGTTCCTGTCGACTTCTTCCTTTTCCCACCTTCAAGTCTACTCCACGTTTATTACAACAGACTTTCTTTTGCAGATCTAACAACTTCTACCTGGCGATGCTGCTTTTCATGCTGTTCTTGTGCATGCTTCCCACCATCTTTGCGATCGCTCGCTATAAGCCATCTCTAAACTGTGGTCCATTTAGGTGAGTTTACGGCAGCGTTATGCTTCATTGCAGGGGATCCCAACCTGGGGTCCCCATATGTTCTTGGACGAAGATTCCCAGAAGCTTTCTCCATGGGCTGTGCATTCTGGGAAATGCAGAAGCCCTGGGTTCAAATCCCCCTTTGGCCATGAAAACCCACAGGGGATGGGTAGAACTGATAAATAGCTTATCTACCTTGAAAACTCTACTAGGGCTGATGTAATTTAGATCTGGCTTAATGTCACATAACATAACATGCTTAAGATGTTTAAGTTACTTTTTCAGAGAAATAAACAAAATGTTGTCGTTTCTAGCGGGCAGGAAAAGATATACGATATTGTGTCTGAGACCATCAGAGCTGACTTTCCCGTCTGGTTCAACAAGGTGATGACATACTTGAGCAGTCCTGTAGTGGTCCTTCCGGCTTTGTTACTTCTCTTGTAAGTCTATCAGCCGTTTGTCCATTTCATTGTCCTGTCACAGCTTGATACAGAGCTACACGATCAGAAGGACCACGATATACTGTAAGTCACTTCCTGTGGATTGGCCTATGGCAGAACATCACTGGGGGGAAAGAGAATAAGATGACTTTCAGGGACAGGCAGGGAGTGGCTGTCCAGCTAGTGAACTGCATCTCCCATCATGCCTCAACACTGGCTGTGATGTCGAGGGCTCATGAGCATTGTGGTCCACCAAACACTCTAAAATTCCTAGAGAAGGGCATAAAATATAAGAATGTATATTTGAATGTATATAATTAATAAAAAACATTTTAAAAGAAAATTAATGTTTTTACTTATGTTGCCTTCACTTCTGCTCCCAGAGTAGGACAATTTAGATTTGTGTTCTTCTCTTCTAGCATGCTGATTTATTACCTGCAAAGCATTGCAAGATCGTTAAAATTCACTAACACTCAACTAAGGATGCAGATTCAGAATGTAAGTACAGGGCAGAAAGTTCTCATTGCAGAATTGCTCCGCGGCATTTCATGAAAGGCTTGGACTTCATTGAAAGGAGAGGGCAGGCAATGTGGGTGTGGAAGAAGGGCTGAAATATAATCCTCCACCTTACCAACTTATTTAATGTATGTTTTTTTTCCCTTAGAAACTATTAAGTAAGGGGAGGCTTTTAATTAATTATGCTTCGTATACATTCCAGGAAAGAAGTGAAGATAAGAAAAAAGTCCTCAAAATGGCAGTAGGTGAGCAAGAATAACAGCAAAGGGCATGGCTTTTATTGAATTGTACAGTCCTTTTCGTTTGCAGACCATCATCCTGAACAATCAGCCTCATCATAGCTCCAATTCTTCTCTGCTTCCGTCTTCTATTTTTTTTCCAAATGGATTTTTTAAAATGGGTTGTTGGGCTCTGTTTGTTTTTAAATGTGTTTTTAGCCTTGGTTTTATTGACCCTTTAAAATATAACCCTTGTTTCATTCATTTAAAGTATTTGTATACTCATTCTTTTTTTGGCTCTTAAATACGGCCTTTTAATCGTCGCAAGCCACCTGAGGAGAAAGGCAGAGTAAAAATATTTTAAATAATAGTTATCTTTGTCCTCCCCACCACCGGTAGGTTTAGCCAAGGATCCGGGTGCAGTTTTGATTGGTGTTTTTTCTCTCTCCTTTTTCTTGTTATTTTTTTTTTTTAGCCAGAATCCAAACGATAGACGGCCTGGACAAAAGGCCGGAGCCAGAGAGCAAGGTCGTAAGCCGGGAGTCCTCCGCTCGGTCATCAAGTCTGAGGAAGAACGGCAGCGTGGTGAATTTTGAGTCTCCCAAAGCCAGCCACATCCAGACCGTCTCTCAGTCGGTCCCACAGGTTGAGGTTCCTAAGCCGGCCAGCCCGGCCCCAGCCGACGTAACCCCTCCCACTCTGGCCCCCGTGGCGGCCGCACCCCTCGCTCCAGTTCCTCCTCTTCCCACACCGTCTCTCCCGACCCCACCTCTTCCTGCTGGGCAGAAGTCTAGAACGGAACCAGCTCCCAACAGGTACCATCTTTGTACTTGATCTCAGGAAGGAAAGGAAGGTTCCTGTGGAGTGTTCTTAGCATTTCTGCCCCTGCAGTGTAGGCACTGGTCCAGTTTTTGGCAAACTCTTCCAGGTCCCTGGTGAATTGTCCCTCCTGGAAGCTTCACAGAATGTTATGGCTTTCCTAGCGGAAGAAGGTAACCCATGAAGTCCAGGAGCAAATGAATAAAGAGCAAGGAATCACACATCACATGCAGAAAGCATTATAGGGACGTGGTGGCGCTGCGGGCTAAACCGCAGAAGCCTGTGCTGCAGGGTCAGAAGACCAGCAGTCGTAAGATCAAATCCACGCGATGGAGTGAGCTCCCGTCGCTTGTCCCAGCTCCCGTCAACCTAGCGGTTCAAAAGCATGCAAATGCCAGTAGATCAATAGGGACCACCTCGGTGGGAAGGTAACAGCGTTCCGTGTCTAAGTCGCACTGGCCATGTGACCACGGAAGATTGTCTTTGGACAAAACGCTGGCTCTATGGCTTGGAAACGGGGATGAGCACTGCCCCCTAGAGTCGGACACGACTGGACAAAAATTGTCAAGGGGAACCTTTACCTTTACCTTTAATCACATATCACATGCAGAAAGCTCAGATAGTTGGGAGCTTCTGGAGAGCTCAGTGGTTTAAGTCTCTGGCTGTGGAGCGAGAGGTTGGGAGTTCGATTCCGTACTGAGCCTCCTTGACAAGGGGCTTAACTCTATGGTACCTTCCAATTCTGTAGTTCTAAGATGATGTGAAACATCCAGATTAAGGTTCAGTCATTTAGCTGGCTGGATAGCTCCATGGTGTTGGTCTCTGGCTGCAGAGCCAGAGGTTGGGAGTTCGATCCCCCCACTGAGCTTCCTTGACAAGGGCTGGACTTGATGAGATGCTTTGCAGTTTGATGATGGTGGTGATGGTAACATGGCAGCCAGGCTGATAACTGGTCTGAAGATGATGGGAGCCTCAATATTGCACAGACCTGCACTGGTGGTCCGTGGCCAATGGAGCCTGATTCAAGATGTTGGGCTGAGCTTTCCAACTCCTAAAGGGTGACGAAGGGAATGCTTTTCTGGGACTCTGGTTGGGTTTTCAGGAATTAAGAGGTCGACTGGACAGGCATAAGGATGACCTTTGCACTCTGAGATTCACCCACTTCAGAAGTACGATCGGTTTACACTCTCCTTGCTTTAAGATAAGGATGCTAAAGCACATCTTATAGCACCGGTTTAATTTATGGTGGTCATTTTAACAGAATATCAATCTTAATAGTTTTAGGGCCATGGAGGCCAAAAGAAAATATGTCTTGCTTTCGCAGGAAAAGAGGACATTTCTTGGAGTTGTTTGTCCTCATGCATGAGAAATCAAAGAAATCAATTGATTCAAACTGCTGGTTACCTCAGTGGTTGAAGCCTCTGGCTGTGGAACCAGAGGCTGGGAATTTGATTCCCCCAGAGGGCCTCCTTAACAGGAGTGATGGAGGCTGAACTCCATGATCCATGAGGTCCCTCCCAGCTCTACTGTTGTAAGATGGTGATGATGATGATGATTCACATGCTCTTTGACATGTCTATTGATAATAGACCCAATGTGCTTGCATGGAACCTCTAGTATCAACTGCCCAGTTATCTTTCAAGAAAGCTACCGTGTTTCCCCCAAAATCAGACAGGGTCTTCTATTAATTTTCGCTCAAAACAACACACATTAGGACTTATTTTCAAGGGAGGTTTAATATTTTTTTACATACAACCATCTACATTTATTCAAATACACTCATGTCATCTTCTTGTTGGTGCACAAGGGTGGAGGGCGGGGGGTTTCACTTAACTGGGGCTTATTTTGAGGGGTAGGGCTTAAATTTAGAGCATCCTGAAAAAACAAACTAGGTCTTATTTTCAGGGTAACAGGGTAGTTCATGAACACCATCAATCTCCTTGAAGAAGGGATGTCCCGAAAGTGAACAATATGGATGGAAAGACGCCTCACCCTCTCTCCCTCTTGCACCCTAGATACCTAAGCTCCGCCCACGGGAGCGCTAGCGACCTCTGCAGGGCAAAAGCTTACACTCCCGTGAAGTTCAGGAAGCGTGCAGAAGATGCTCACTCCGAACCCCTCTTCAGGAAGAGCCTCCGTCAGATCAACCCCGAGGTCTGCCCTGCCTCTGGGGCTCCCCCTTTTGCCGGCCGCCGTGCTCACACCGCCAGGTACTTCGTTGTCAACGAACACCATCCCCGCAAGAAAATTGTCCGCTCCACCACGCGGCTGCCAAGGAATTACCGCATGGACGAGTCGGGCGACGTCGTTGAGCTGTATCCCAGGAACATCCGGAGGTACTTGGTTCGAATGCCCCATCGGCTGTACTCGCCTCATTACAGTGAAGAGGAAGAGGAGGAGGAATTAAGGAGAGTTGTGGGCGGTAGATCTCACCGCCCGCGGTCCCTCTCGGATCTACGAGCCTCGCCTCGCTTCTTCATCGGGGACCGTGGGAACAACCAGGTCCTTACGAGCAAGTCGTTGGCCCAAATGCACTACAAATCCTGGGAAGATGGGTTTGGGCTTCCTTTCGATGGCCCTCCACACACGCACCGGAGGATTCACGTGAAGAACATCGAGCTGGATGAACCCTACCCAGGACACCACACGAAAGTGAAAGCCAAGCACCAGCCTGAACCTTCTCCCACGGAGTCCGAGTCGGCGTCCGTGGGATCCAGCAGTGACCAGCCGACAAGCGGTAATGATCAGTACATCCAGGTCATTCACAATAAAGAGAAGTACCTGAAATCCGGAGGGAAGCTGATCCGGAAGACGTCCAAGACAGGTGTCGACTTCAACATGGCCAAAACAAATGAACTGATATGTTCGAATGTCTAGAAGAGGCGGGAAAGGCTGCATTGCCATATCCTTAGGAATTAGAACCTTCTCAGAGTTTCATCCCCTGGCTAAGTAGTCAAATGTTTTGGCGGTGTTTAAAAATCCATTGAAGCAAAGAGGATGCTTCACTGCATTAGTTTTCATACCATCTGTACCATGCAAGAGTCAAACTAGATGATGTCCAGTATGCTGTTTTGAGCAGGAAGGTGACAGGTGTCCCGTTCCGTAACCGATTGCATGACAGGTCACGCCCCTGATCTTGCAACCAGTGTAAGACCAGGCATACAAGAGTTGACAGGGGCTCATAGTGATTTCCCCTTTGCTTAACTCACCAGGATGTTGACCCATATGCTTGATCACAAGTTTTGTAGAGGTGCTCCTTCGTGGTGGAAAAAGAACTATTGGTCGTAGCACATGATTTCCTTCACCTACGTATCTTGCACTCATCGTGCTCTTTTTTAAATCTCTGGAAAGTAAACACAGAATTATTTTGCAAATCTGGTTTCTAAGGCACTATGTCTGAAGAAATCTAATTGCTAAGGCATTATGTCCGAGGAAATCCAGTTGGAAAGGCATTGTGTCTGAGGAAATCTCATTACAGGAAGGAAAAAGGATTAATCTAGCTTGACCCCACAATTCTCAA